CTCAGCACACGGGGGTTCTGCTGCTATGACTCGCCACACCTGCCTGGCCTCAGCCTGAGTGGGGGCTGCACGACTGGACAGTCGGGCTGCTGCCTGTTCTCTGCATCAGGAAAGATTTGTTTATGGCCGGGTAAATAAACTCTGCATCAGCACCAAGGCTGGGCAGAAAGCACGAGGACGCATGTGCTTCGATGACTTCCTGGTGTGTCTTTTCCTTTCCTCCTCCTGCAGCACCTCTCCTCTTCTTCCCAAACCTTTCAGACGAATCTAAAAGGTACACATGGCCACACCCAGGAGTTGGTCAGAGGGCACTGTGCAGGAGGATTCTCCTCGTGCTGGGCCCAAGATGCAGGAGCTGTTAGATGCACTGTGACTCACAGTTGTCCTGAGCATGAAGAGCCACACTGCCCTTACAATGGGGCACAGGTCAAAATGACACATTTTAACCAGGCCCAGTAGTGCAGATCAGCATGCTAGGAGACTAAGGAAGGAGGGTTGCCAAATTTGAGCTTAGTCTGAGTGATTTAGCAACTTAGTGAATACCTCTCTCAAAAATAAAACAAAGGTTGGAATTATTTCTATGCTAAGGCCCTAGGTGCAATGCCCAGCACTACAAACCTAACTGAATCGACCTAACCTAGAAATCAAAACAAAGCAAAGCAAAGCAAAGCAAAGCTCTTGTTCAGATGGCCAACCAAGGCTATCAGCCTGCACCTTTGAGGACTAAAGGGAAGGTGACACTGCACATTTGGGAAAATGTCCATCTCACCACACTCCTTTCTTTCATATGTGCCTTGAAAAGGCAAGAAAAGGGGGGCAATTCCAAAAAAGAGAACAGGAAGCAGCTGACGACAGAGAAGATCCTGGTATGGCACTTTTTTTTTTTTAATGTATTTGGTTGTTACAGGATCTCACTATGCAGCTTGGACTCATAGTGATCCTCCTGTTTTCAGACACCCCAGTACTGGGATTATAGGCATACTCCATTACACCAGGACTCTGTGGCCAGCTCAGCCTGCCCTGGGGGCAGGGCTGGCGTGGAATGTGGAGCAGGGGATGGAAAGGCATGGCCCCTACACTTGCCTAAGCTTGCCTAAGCAGGCATCCACTGAGCTATCTCACTGGCCCTTGAGTACAGAAATTTAGTCTTTAGTAGTTCTATACCTTTATCAAGTTGCCTATACTCTTAAAGGTCTGAGGGACCTCTCCCCAGAAAAAAACATACATCATGCATGTGAATAATTTGCTTATAATCTATACTTCTGTGAAACCCATTTCATCATCTAGGACTACACGGGCCATAGCACAAGTATTTTTGTTTTACAGGCAAGTTGGAAGTTGCCACTAATAAAAACCCTTCTTGGGGCCGGGGAGATGGCTCAGTGGAATAAGCGCTTCCCTGGCAAGTGCAAGGGCCGAGTTCAATCCCTGGTTCCACAAAACAAAACCAAACCAAAAACCCTTCTAAAGGCAGATGGAAAAGAAGCCTTAACCTCAAAGAAAGTTCTCACACCACTGGAAATACAGAGCTAACCTAAGTGGGAGCGAGTGATCAAGAGCGGATGGACGGCTCCTCAAAGACAGATTGTAGTTCACAGGAAGAGCATTCCTCTGCTGTGGCAGCTGCATACCTACCATTTGTGCTAATTAATTTGCCATTCTCAGTTTAGATGTGTGTGGAGGGAAGAACAATCTCTTCTGAATTGCAACCCACTGATCCAGCTGGAAGTGATTTCCACTCATCACCAAAAGAATCTGGCCTTATAAAGATGAACTGTTTCTGTAAATTACTTGTTTTGTTTCTCCCTGTTCTTCATGTCAGGGTGAGTTGATAGCTTTCCATAGGAAAGCTGATTTGGGGGAGCCAACACATGTCCAGACATTTGTTTATGGTCCAGGTGCATGCACAAGCTGCCCAGTAAAGAGGGATAATACAGTACGAGCAAGGACCAGCGGTAATTCCTACTGCATAACTAACGAATCCAAACTTCAAGAGCTCAGCGCTGCAGTTGCAAAAGGCCAAGTCTCCCCTCCATGGTCAACTCAGCCTTCTAGGCCACTTCAGCTCTTCTGCGCTTTCATATCACTTACTCACGTTATCACCATAAAAAAGGGACAGGACAGCTGGAGAGATGATCACCAGCAGTTACATGCTCCCAGCTACATGTCTTTGGATAAATGAAGTAACCTAATTTTTAAAATTTTTTTTTTTTTTTTTTTTTTCAGAGCTGGGGATTGAACTCATGCCCTTGCACTTGCCAGGCAAGCACTTATTCGACTGAGCTATCTCCCCAGCCCCCTTTTAAAATTAATTAATTAATTATTATTAGTTTTTTGGTGGAACCGGGGATTGAACTCAGGTCCTGGAGCTTGCCAGGGGAAGTGCTTATTCTACTGAGCCATTTCCCTGGCCCCCACAACCTAAGTTTTGAAGGGAGGGAAGCAGGATCCACCAATGAGCCTTAAGGGAAAAAAAAAAATGCCCCAAATGATGATAAAAGCATTTCACACCTCCCAGGGAGGAAGACATGCTCAAAAATGAGAAGAAATTTTGAGGAAAATATCAAAATGTTCTCTGTGGGAAAATTGTTCTCTCTCTCTCTCTCTCTCTCTCTCTCTCTATATATATATATATATATATATATATAGTTTTTGGACATAAGGTCTTACTTGTACCCAGGCTGGCCTGGATCTCACAGAAATTCACCCACCTCAGACACCCATGTGCTGGGGTTACACACATGCACCACCACACCCAGACCCCCTTAGATTTTGAGAAAGAATGAGTCTTCCCCTGCCAGCCATGATGGAGTAGCAGACACCAATTTGCTATCAATCTTTCATTAAAAAGAAACCCTGATACAAACTATGAAGTGTTTTCTAGGTATTAAAACAATGGGCAGTGCGGGACTCTGATCACAGAGGAAAAGCCGGCTGAGCTCCAAATTACTGAGTGCAGTTCGGGTTCACTACACGAGGCAGGCAAACAGCGCTTGGTGGTCTCACTAGCTGAGGAGACAGACGAGAGCAGGAGAGGCTCTCATCACTATGGTCATGCTGTGAAGGGTGGCATACAGGAGGGGAGGCTACAGAGAGTAAGCGTGTGAACAAGTGCTTCGTCTGGTCGTGTTACTATACCCAAACACCACACACTGAGTGACTTATAAACAACAAATATTTCTCACTGTTCTGGAGGATGTAAAGTCCAATACTGAGGACGAGCACATGCATGTTTGCTGAGGGCAGGTTCCTCATGGACAGCAACATCCTACTGTGCCTGCAAACAAGCTCCCTTGGCCTCTTCCGATATTCAGATGAAGCACAGGGTGATGTGTAGTGGAGCAAATGACTGAGTACAGGTTCTGGACATGGTAGAAGAGTCTCCTGGGCAGACCTGGGCTGCATGTTATCGTGTACATTCATGTAAGGAAACAGCACAAGGGTGACAGAACCAGTGACCATCTGCTGGCTGCAAGGACACTCCTGGAACCCTTCCAGGGCTGGAAGTAAGACATATAGTCCCAGCCACACTGAACACATTACGGTAGGGTGTCTGACAGCCTTTTTTTTTTTTTTTTTTTCTGGAGACAGGCTCTCACTATTGTAGTTCAGGCTGGTTTTGAACTCATGATGTGGCCCAGGCTGGCCTGGAACTTGCAGTAATTCTCTCGCTTCAGTATATGACACTACACCTGGTTTGACAGGATTCTCGGAAAGGTGTCACCCTGAAAGGAGACAGTTACTTTTAATGTTAAAAAGCTGTCCTGGTCCCTATGAAGGCAAACTATTACCCCAAGCTGAAGCTCTGTGCCCATTAAACAGCAGCTCCTTGCTTGGCCGCCCTGTGCCCCTGCCAGGCACTTGCTGTGTCTGTGACACTTACCACTCTGAATCTCACAGGTGGAATCAAAATAGTGTCTGCCCTCGACTTGTGGGGGGGGGCAGTATGTGACAAGACCCATTATAAAGCTTTCCCCGTTTTCCTGTAAGACTCTGGACCTCCCCAACTTTAGGCATCATCTCCTGATCCCCTGACTAAGGATGTGGGCGAGCAGTGAGTACAGGGCAGCTCTCCGTCTGGGAAGGTCTTTCCTGCTGCGGGCCTGATGCGCACCTCTGCTCTGCTTAGGGCTTGGTCTCACAGGGCACTGGTAGCCCCACTGTTCTACCTGTTCCCAGGGGCGAGGGCGTGGGGCTTTTCATGTACAGCACGAGATGGGTGCACGTAGGTCCCCCTGGTGGCAGGAGCCAATGCCCATGAACAAAGCTGACCATGCTGCAACTCTGTGTGAGCAAAGCCCTGTCCCATGCAGTGTCCCTGGTACACAGTGCCACCAACACCTGTAACTCTGAGCCCTGGGCCTGCTGCTCCTGGAGGTAGACAACTAGTGTTACCTGACAAACACACCAAATTTTTCTTCTGCTATGCCATTTCAAATGTCATCTGTCCACTGTCAAGATTTGTAAGCTATAACTGTCAACCGTCTGTGATATCTGAAGGTTCATACAACTGAAAATCAAACGTCTACACATAAAAACTACCTCAGAGAGGGAAATGTGTGTCACATCACTAAAAGTTTGTCACGTGAAGGAGAGTCTTCCAAGTATCATATGCAAGTGGGTTTTTTCTCAGCTTCTCTTTACTTCACCAGAATGCAGGCAGCCCCTGCTCTTCTCTGCAGCCCATGGCATCTCTTCTCACCTTCCTGGCTCCATCCTACCAACTGGCCACAGCACCCGGAGGCGGCGGCAGGCTATCAGATCTGCTTCATTCCTCCAGGGGCTTCTGATGTGCTTCTCGAACTGACAACGGGTCTGCTGAGCTAAAATTACTCATCCACGCCAGAAGAAATAGGTTTTGCAGAAAAACTGATTACCTCAGTCATTTTTGGCAGCTTGAATAAGAAGTAATAACAGCAAGAAACTCCTTGAACAAAAACAAAACAGAATCACACAAAAACTCGGAAAGTATTTTGAAAAGGTGCTTTGAGAATTTACTGTACAGTTTTTTAAACAATTTATTTATATGTTGACTTCTACATGCTCTTACATTTGTGTAAAATATTTATACAGTCTTTACAATTTGTACATATATTAAATGGCTGTATCATAAGCACTATTTTTGAGATTTTCTGAAAGAAAAATCAAGAGGAGAGAATTATTTATAAAACATTAACAAAACCCCGTGACAATGAAGAACAAGAAGTTCTCATATACGTGTTCATTTGATTTTGATTTCCTTGTCTACGTTTTTGGTTTCACTTATTTACACTGGCCCAGATTTTCCATTTTCTAGAATTACTAGGTCAAAAAAAGAAAGCAGTAGATCAGGCTGTAAGGCAACGGTGCAAGGTGGAGCTGCAGTGTGCAGGGTAAGACACTGAGTGTTCTGATTCGAGCCACCGGCCGGGCTTGCTCTGTGCTATCGCTGCGGCACCAGTGGTTGGGACGCAGGACAAGCATCACTCTGTACTCAGCACGTGACCGCACTTGGCTCGGGAAGCTGCTCGTCCCAGGCTCTGAGCTTCCCCTCTTGTGAGCAGGGCACGCACCACCCTCTGGGTTTTATCTTTTCACAGAACACTGGCTGGCCTGCTGCTGTGTGCTGCAAACCAAGTGGCTGCCAGGCTGTGCCCAGCACTTCTATGTAATGGGCAGTTGAGGGAAGGGCAGGGGTGGCAGCTCTGGGCATGGGAATCAGGATGGCTACCCACCCAGACAGGCAACGCCAGAGAAGTTTCTAAACAATCTTCCAACTTTCCTGACATATCTTCTAGCACAGAACACACCTTACTTGAGATCAGGAAGAAAGGTAAGGAAGCTGAACTGCCTTCCTGGAGGAGCCGCAGGCAGCTGGGCCTAGGAAGGGACAGGCAGTGTCCACCTTCCACGCTCCGAGAGGGCCGCGGCCTGGCAGCCCAGTGGCCCCACGCTGCTCCTCCCTCCTGTGATGTAAGCACCTGAGCTGCTACCCCAGGGAAGGGCGTGCAGGCTTTCCTAGGCAGACGGGAGCCCCTCAGGACTGAGAGCTATAAAAATATACAAACATATATATATATTTTTATTTTGACATATTTCATATTTTAAGAAAGCAATTAGTAATTATTTGACATTGGGTAAGAACTAGAAGATAATGGGTAACATATAAATTACAATCTTGTGTAAAATATCAGTGGGGGGAACCCCTAAGTCTCCATTCAAAATTCTGACAAAATTTAAGTATTTTGCAAAAATATAGACAATTTCCATTAGTTTAAATAATAAGCAGGAAATGAACATAAGAAGACCATCCCTAAGTAACCGATTAACCAATGCATTTTGGCTGGTTCATAAAAGTTTTTTCCAACTCATTTCTTTTTGGTTTTCTTTCATTTTTTTTTTTAATGATAGGAAAAAATAAACTTTGAATTATACTGCCCCAAGTCAGAAAGAAGCACTTCGGAGATTTCTTCATGTTCCATTCTTTCTACATAACTGGAAAGCGGCTGAGGGCCTGCCTCAGCTTTTCTGCAATCTGGTAAAAGAACAAAAACACTTTTAAGATATTACACCCATTACCACGCTGCAGTCTTATTCTGGCCCCCAAATGCCTCTGCATGGCTGCTGGGCAGCCAGCTGCATGTGGCCTTGCGGCCAACCTCACTGCCTGCAGGAAGCCCTGCTCTAGTCGCCCAGTTACTGGCCACAGCTGGGCCTCCAGCTCCATTTCCAGACCTGTGGTTTATCAAGACAGTGGCAGCAGCTCCGTCTTTTGCACCTATCCAGAGTTCCTTTCTCTCTCTCAGACAAGCAGGGTGAAGACCCTAGTGGGGCCACAAGTCCCAGAGTGCACCCAGCTGCTACTGTGTGCAGTGTGGACAGAACGCACCTTTGTGACACCCTAATGGCGGCTGCAGCATTGTCTGTGCCTGTGTCTCCCCCAAGATACCAGGTGCCCCTTGGAGGCTGACACACTGTCCACCCGGGGTCCCAAAGAGACAAATATATTCTGCTATGTTTAGAATGCTGAAAGGCAAAGACCCATGGTACAGACGTAGGAGCAGGCCTGCAGTCAGAACACAGCCTGTGTATGCGGGGGGGCGGAGGGGGCAGCGCTGCTTGAGCTCTTCCCCTCACTCAGCACATCTCCCAAACCAGCTGCTTCACAAATACACACTCACACATCAATCACAGGGCCCTTTCAAGAGTCAGCTACTACACAGGAGTGTTTCCAGGAGTGTATAGCCTCAGGGTGACATGTGCGTGCACGTGAGAACATGGCAGGGACTGATGATAAAGCTACAGGCCTTTCTTCTGATGTCTGAGCTCCATTTGTAAGACCTATTTTCTTAGTCTGAATCCAGGGATCGAACTCAGGACCTGGTGCTTACCGGGCAGGCGTTGCATCACTGAACTAAACCCCTGGCCCAAAATCTGTTTTCTAGATACTCTGTTAAGTGCAAGCATTACTACGTGTGTCATGAAAGTTTAAGTTTCTGCTATGGTTTTTCTGAAGGCTAATGTTGAAGGCTCTGTGCTTTCTCCTGGTTTCCTTTGGAACATGTGAAACCTGGGCAGTAAACAAAGGCTGCCTTTGGTTTCTTCCCTCAGCTGAGGACAAAGGGTGACCTCATCTCATTCAACACTGTCACTGTGATAGGCAGTGAAGGAAGGGACAGGCACACAATGGGGGCTTCGGCTGGCTTCAGAACTAGCATCCTACGCTCCTTCCTCAAAAGAAGCCCTTTCCAACCTGGTATTACTCAAAAAGAAAAGGTGGAAAGAGTTAAGAGATTTTAGAAAAACAAACCTTGCTCAAAATTTAACCTTCTCAGGGCTGGGAGGTAGCTCAGTAGAATAAAGGCCTGGCTGGCAAGCTCAAGGTCCTGAGTTCAATCACTGGTACCACCAAACCCCCCCCCCCAAAACAAAAAACAAACAAACAAAAAAAACTTCTCTGACTTATTGCTCAGCATTAAAGAATGCAGATAAACTTCATATAGTTGAAGTTCCTTGCCCTAAACCCGCCTCCTCGCATGGGGAAGAGACATGGAAAGGTATTCACTCACCGTTTCATAAAACTGCACTTGCTGTTCCAGGTACAGGCGGATGACACTGTTGTAGTCATAGATCCGGTTACTATGAAAGTGATTCATCTCAGCTACAACCAAAACCAAGGCAGCAGTCAATTTCCCTCCACGACTTCAAATGAAGACACCTGGTTTCTCTGCTTGGTCCTGACCTAATCCAGCTTCTGGAAAAGGGCTCGTTCCTGGCACATTTCATGCAGATGAGATAACAACTCATTGGACGGTCAGCAGAAAGCACTGCTTTCCAGTAAGTGGAACGTTCACTGATTTACATATTAAAAACCACGAATATCTTTCCTCTTCTGCCCAAGCACGTGCCACTTATCCATGCATTAAGACAGAAAATATCCCTTTGCTGACCCTTTGTGCTCAAATGCGCTCAAATCTCTAACCATTAACTACTATTTTCCTTTCACTAACAGTTAAAGTATGCCTAAAAGCATTCTTCCCAGTTCCTTTACATTCTATGGTCCTGACAGAGACTGCTAAAAGCTGAGCTCTGGACTGTGATACAGCCTTATTGTACTGGAGCATAATAAAGTGAATCTTCATGTCTCTAAGAGATCATATACAACTTAAGCTGTCAATATATCATGTACATATATGAAAAATTAAATACTACAGACCTACATTAACACTAGTATTCTGTAAGGGGTTTATGATGGTATTTTAAATTGGCTCTAATTTAACTGCTGTTCACATCTGCATGTCTGTAGCAAGTGTGCGGGACAACTTCTGAGAGAGGAAGAGAAGACTTTCCATGAGCTCCTCACAGTGCTCTTCCTTACCTTGCAAAGCATAAGACATGGTGCCAACTCTCTTCACCATGGTCTGCTTGTCTTGCGGAGTGATTTTACTAGTTGCAACTAGCTTATCACTTTCTTTCACTTTCTCTATTGCTCCCTATGGAATATAAAATGCAATAATATTAGTAAGAAACCAAAAAGTATTAGTTGTTAGTTTAACAATGCTAACATGTTAACATCTGTAACTCTCTTGCTACCAAAACAGGAAAACAAAAATACTGAAGTATCTAAATGTAACTTCCTGTAAGTACCTTGGAAGCCAAAGGATAGAAAAATGTAACTAAGCTGTTTATAATTTTTTTCTACAGTGAAGAGAAAACTGAACAGCACACTGTCTCCTGATAATTCATAAACCACTGGCATTTTAAGAGTAGTATGTAACAGGAAAACAGGCATCATTAGCAGATCCAGAACTCATGGATTAGGTACAGGGTAATGTACACATACCGTCTCTCCGAGGAAAGCGTACTTCACAGGCTGGCGCTTGAGTGAGAGCCGACTATACGGCTCAGCTTTATTTTGATTTTTGTAAGAGGCACTGAGTCAATTTATTAGATTGAAGTAATTAAAAAGCTGCCAAACATTTCCCATTCCAGTGTCACCATACTGCTTAGTTTTTAGGGTTGCTTGGAGAGAAAAACTATATTATATGCATAAACTAGGCTCCATTCCTACGAGTCTAATTTTGCTGACACAAATTCCTAAGAGAAACTGACTGTTCAGTTTCATACTATCAGAAGTTGTTCAAACTTACAGAGCAACATGCTGAAATGCCCACATGGCAACACTGTTAAAAGCACAGGCCAGGCCTCTGCAGAGCGTTCCTAACAAACCCTAGGACATCCCAATAAGCTCAAGTACCACAAACCACAGTCGATAAAACACTCAGGACTGCGGTGATACATGAATTGTGAAAGGGGGACAGAATAACTAACCAGAGTTAAAATGTGAAGACAAGGGGCTGGGGAGATGGCTGAGTAGAAAATAAGCACTTCCCTGGCAAGCACAAGGGCCTGAGTTCAATCCCCGGCTCCGCCAAAAAGAAAAAAAAAGTGAGGACACCCCAAACCAATTTTCAAATTTAACTTGAAATCTTCCTGCTGGGAATTAGTTTCTTTTTCATTTACAGACATAGACAGGGGTGTGCCTGTCTGAAACCAATCCACCTGTGTCCTCTTCTATGAGCACCTATGATTCTTACCTTGTGAGCACCGATGATATCTGGGAAGCAGCCGAGAAAGCCTTTATATTCGTGGTTACACTCCATCAGGAAATGGAGGTCTTTCTTTGGCTATAACAAGACACAGGCTGATTGTTACCAGCAGAAGAATTCAGAGAATCAAGAAAACTAGTGTATGAGAATGAACTGTATTAAGCAAATCCTCCAAGTACCAAGTGGTAGGCATTCTGATTAGTTTTCATTAAAGAAAATAACCCCCAATACTATTATGCAAAACTATTATGCTCTGAATCACAGGTAGTAAAAAGATGATAAAACATATAGTTTTTAGGTTGGTTTGTAAAAATCAGATATTTTGAGGTAGTCCAAAACAACACTATGTTTGTGTGGTACCGGGGATTGAACTCAGAACCCTGTGCTTACCAGGCAAGCACTTGTTCTACTGAGCTATCTCCCTGGGCCCTAAAACATAACACTATGAAGGTAAAAATTATTGTATGTTCACAAAAAAGCAAATAAGTTATTATAATTTAACGTCTATACTTTACTACAGACATATAAAAGTATGGTAATTCTTGGTAAGTGGCGACTTAGAAAAATTTCCATTTTTCAAGAAATCATCTGAAAAATTTTAGTTTATGGATTTAAAACAGCTTAGATGATTATTCTCCTTAAGGGTACTTATCTATAAAAAGAATGGAGATTAGGCTACTAAAGACTCTAACAAATAATAAAGATTTATCCTAGGCTGGAGACTGTGGAAGATCCTTTTATTATTAATTAGCTATTAAATCCTGAGAGGCAAACATGGTAGGCCTTGCTACGGCCCTTAACAGATGCAGAGAGGTGATGTAGACTAACATTTTCTTGTGTGCACTGTAATCCCTGATGGGCAGAAGCAGGTCAGGCGGCAACACTGGAACGCACTCACTCAGCTCCTCCCCTTGCCCTCTTTATTCTTTTTCTCTTTCTTACAGTAGGGACTGAACTACAGGTCTCATGCATTCCAGGCAAGTGTCCTAGTGATGAGCTACACCTCCAGCCCCAGACCTTCCTTCCTTTTTTGATTCTAGGGCTCAAACCCCAAGGCCTTAGGAGGGCCAAGCAGGCACTCTGACACTGAGCCACACCCCTAGCTTCATTTAGTTTCTTTCTTTTCCTGGTACTGTGGACTGAGCCTAGGACTTCTGCACTGAGCTACATCTCCAGCAAGTCACTCATTCACTCTTTTATATCAGCTTAGGCAAGTGCCAGGGCTGGGGTTTGGTTCCCTACATCACATGTTGCATCAGTCCTGCCCCAGGTGCGCTCAGGCAGCCACTGAGACTAGGCGTGGTGGCGCACACCTGTAATCCCAGTGATGGGGATGCTGAAAACAGGAGGATCATTATGAGTCTGAGCTGTGTAGTGAGACTCTGTACCAAATAAATAAATATATTAAATTTCTTTTACTTTCTCTTTCTTCCCTTCCTTCCACAGAGGGTCTAAGTTGCCCGGGTTGGTCTTGAACTTGCAATCCTCCTACCTCAGCCTTCCAGAGTGCTGGGATTATGGGTGTGCACCACTGTGTGTGGCCCCTTAGATTTACTCGCAGCACATTTAACCATCTACTTTGATTTAACCTAAGAGACACTATTATCAAATACAATTAACGAAGATATGTACCAACAGAAAAGAAGTGGATATCTATTTAGACATGTCTTAAAATAGTTTTAAATACACAGATCAGAGAGCATAAAAATCTTAATTGAATCTGTATGTTAATACCTGTTCTGCTACGAGACTGGCAATTTCTTCATAAGTTTTTCCAGCTTCTGTTATTGCATCATTGAGATCTGTTTCACCTGAAAAGATTACAGTTAGTGCTGTCACTAATGCTCATGTTTCTTGCACTGGGCAGTGGAAAGCTCTTCAAACCAGCACTGGTGTTCTTGGGACAAGAACCTGGCCCGTGGTGGGGCACACGGTGTAGTTAGGAGGTGCTCCTGGCCACTGGATGGCCAGCTGTTTCCAGTCCTGGTCAGTGAACAGGGCAGAGCATACTGCATTGTTTTTTAAAAGAAAGAAAAAAAAATAATGAGCTTGTACTGATATTTCTAACAAATTTGGGATTCTGGGAATTTTATTTAAAATTTTTTATATTTTAAAAATATGAATTACTAGAAAATTACACTATGTAATATAGTTTTGCAATACTATGAAATATATTATTAATTGTATGACTTGTGAAAACAACTAAAATTCTTCTGGAGTCTTTCTGATTGTTACTTTAAGGTAATTTTTACTTATTTATTTATTTTGCGGAACCGGGGATTGAACTCAGATCCTTGCATTTGCCAGTCAAGCATTTATCCTACTGAGCCATTTCCCTGGCCCCTAAGGTAATTTTTAGATAACTCCTCACTAATTGGTTAGGCCCTCATCTTTTTTTTTTTTTTTTTTTTTTGGCTGAACCGGGGATTGAACTCAGGCCCCTGTGCTTGCCAGGCAAGCACTTATTCTACTGAGCCATCTTCTACACCCCAGGCCCTCATCTTGAGGTGTCATATCACATGTGGTTATAAGGGATGCCTTCATTTTGAAGTAAATGTTTTCTAATAATTATGGAAAACATTCACACACAAAATAAAACCAAAAAAAGAAAAAAAAAAGATATTATTAAAAGTCTACCTCTCTTCCCCAGAGGTAATCCTTTAAAATTTAAATTATTTCAATATGATAAAGACTATTGAAGAACTCCCCATAAGAACATGGAATGTTTCATGGTTTTGGCAGGGGTCATGTTGACAGTCTTAGTACTATTCCAATACTAGTACACATACTGTTAAAAAAAAAAAAAAAGGAATGAAAGTGATGTTTAACAAGAGCCATCCTCATAGATAAACCTCATTTGCATTATTGCAAGATCGCAGAGCGCAGCTCTGATCCAAGACACCATACTCAACACTACTTCCTATCACTGTCCTTTGAAACAGAAGCCAGGTAGTTTGAACTTGAACAGTTCTGTGAAAACAGTAACTACATGTTGTTTAACACAGAACATACTGAGTACTTTCAATACTTGAGGAAGTGCTGTGTGCACTACGACTGTCTCCTAACACAGTGGCAGACAGTGACAGCACAATGTGCAGGAGTCACAACGTGAGGGAAGCTTCAGTGCTTCTCTGAAAGGTTACAGGAAAGAGCACGTGGACAGGCAAAGGGTACAGGTTGCCCCTCACTGCCTACCTTCCAGGAGGGGTCCACTCTGTGCTGGCCTCTGCCCGGCTGCCACTCATATCTTCTTCTAGTCCTCCTTTCTATTATGCATTGCTTTGAGCTACACAGAGACCATAAAACTCCAAAGGACATCTCCATCCTCAGCTGTGGGTGAGTTCTAACACACGAAGGTGGTACTGACATCAACCACATCTTCTAGTGTTTCCAAAACAAAAGCTCTATCCTGTTTGGATACCACAGAGCTCCAGAAGGGTAAGGGCACCTGGCCACCTGCCCAGTGCCTGGGCAATGGACACATCTAGTGCTGGCTTCCCATCAACTGGCCCAGAGGCTTTGCTCGCTGATCTCAGGTTCAGACTAAGAAACCCTTGGGGCTCCCTTCCAATCTGAGCCCTGACTATAAGAGAGAGTACGCCAAAACTGCAATATTCACTTATTGGTGCCCCAGGTCCTACGTTCTGGTGACAGACCAACATCTAAAGACCTGCCTTCATGTCTAAAGCCCTATCCTATCTGAAAATCAGGGCAGGCACCCTGGTGAGGTACCAATTCTATCACTGAGATAATTACTATACTGACAAGAGATACTCAAATAATTTACTTTTTTTTTTGGTACTGGGGATTGAACTCCAGACCTTATGCTTGCCAGGAACAGGTACCACTTACTGACAAATGCCTTATCCTTTTTTTAAAGTTTTTATTTTTTTATTTTTTTTTATTTTAACATTGTGTGTGTGTGTGTGTGTGTGTGTGTGTGTGTGTGTGGCCAGCTCAGCCCACCAGGGGGCGCGGCTGGCTGGCATGTGGTGCTGGAGGATTGAACCGCGGTCCCTGTGCTTTGCCAAGCTTGTTCCAAGTAGGTGCTTTAGACTACTGAGCCATCTCTCCAGCCCCCTTATCCTTTTTTTAAAGGAATGCTTGCAAGTACTATCAGCATGACAGTATAAGGAGCTCCAAGTAACATTTGGCAGCGCACACACAGTTATAAGCCAAAAACCACTGTGCCTATGGAGTGCCCTAAGGCAACACACTCATTAGCCAAACACTGTCCTCTGAATAACCTTTTAAAAAAATTAATCTTTTTATCAGAAAAAACTTCAGAAGGCTTGGCAGAGAGTTGAAATGTAGGGCAGGATGCTCCACCCCCCATTACCTATTATGTTAGAAGAGCTCTATCTGGGAGGTGAGGAAGGCAAACAACTCTCCACCTTCCTCCGAAGTCATAAAGCAAGGCAGTGAGGGTCACAAGTGCGCGGTCTGGCCAAGAGCCCATCGATGACAAGGGTGCTTCCAGGCAGTTTTTGTCTGCCTGTGAGATATGGGGAGGAGGCAGGTAGGACAGCACATGAAAGGCACGTTCTCTCTCAAGCATGGATGCTGACAGAACTGATCTCAAAGGGGGATTAAACAAGTTCATGTACCAGGTATCAAAATACAGTTAGGTTAGATAGGAGGAATAACTTCTATTGTTGTATATTACACTACGGAACGGCAGTCCACGACAACCTATTATATATTTTATGCATAACTAGAAGTGAATGCTGGAAGGCTCCAAACATGAAAAAATGATCAGGAGAAGGCGATGCTAATTACTGTGATATGGTCACTGCACACTGTATGCAGCACTGAATCATTATACTGTACTCCACAGACAGGTATAATTACGATATAGAAAAAAAAACTTACCTTGATAACCACTAGAACTAAATACTGTTGCTAAGCTCTGCAAGGCTTTTCCTATCTTTTGATATTCCTTAGGCAATGCTGAAAGAGAAAAAAGAATAAACTGTTAACTGGTCCACTAAGCAAACGGAACTGGAATTCAACTGTTTTCTAGTGATTACTTTGTAATAAAAGACACTTAAGGTGATTAAAAATATAAAAATACTATATAATAAACTATAATGCAAAAGTGATGTTTCCACTAATGAATTCTTTAACTGTTATTTATTTTTAATTGACTTTCAATTAATGGTTGGGGCCAGGGAAACAGCTCAGCAGCACAGGCACCTGCCTGGCAAGTGCAAGGTCCTGAGTTCGACCCTTGGTACCGAAAAAAAAGAAACAAAAAGAGATACTTTCTCAATTAATGGTAGACACTACTATTATCAATCACTTCCACTTTTTTTTTTTTTTTTTTTTTTTTACATTTGGTACAGGGACTACAGGGTCTCACTACGTAGATCAGACTCAGTAATCTGCCTGCATTCAGCCTCCCAAGAGCTGAGATTACAGGTGTGCGCCACCACCACGCCCAGTCTCAATCACTGTCTCAGTGTGGCCGGGGTGCAGGGCAGGTATGGCACACAGGGGATTGAACACCTGGGCCCTGCAACTGCCTACACAGGCACTTTAGTCTGCTGAGCTATCTAGCTGGCCCTTCCACATTCTTATTTACTTAATGAAACAGAAATGAACTGATCTTCCCACCTGCAAAAAAAAAAAAAAAAAAAAAGGAATGAACTCAAGCTCTTAGATTTCTAGAAGCACTTTTGTTTATGCTTGGTCTTCACAAGAAACCCCCTTCGCTGCCACACAGATGCGGTCTCTGTGGGGAAGGCTAGGAACATGCGGTGCACAAAAGCAATAAGCCCAAGTAATGTGCAAACCAGTAACCGATCGACTCAAAATCGAAAGAAAAAAGCCTGGCAAAAAAACAAGACAATGGAGCATCACAGGATGAGAGAGGAGGGGTGTGTTTGCTCACCAGTAAGATAAAACCACTCAACTGGTTCCTAAGGGTCCTTCCTAAGGTTGTAAAACACTAGGATTCTAGATCATTCTGGAGAACTGCCAGAGCAGTCTCCACATCCCTTTGCATTTGTACTGCATGCAGTCCCCTCAAGTACGCCAGTGGCCTTTCAAAAGAAACCATCGCTTAAGTCCAAGCTGCAAGTTAGTGTACATACACCTAAATCCAAACTGCATCTGCTGTTAATTTTAGTAATCACCTTTTTGTTTGTTTGGAAACAGGATCTCACTATGCAGTTTGGGCTGGCCTTGTGCTCACTTTTGTAGCCCTGGGGCTGGACTGAAACTCTCGGAGATCCTCCTAGCTCAACCTCCCGAGTGCTGGGATTACAGGTTCTGGGGACACATGATGGGCACCTGGGCATCTGGGGCGGAGATGGAGTGCCCAGGCATCCCTGGGGCTGAGCTGGCATGGCATGTGGGGATCGAACCGGGTCCTTGTCGCTGTAAGACAGGAGCTTATGCCTCTGAGTTCTCTCTCAGGCCCCAGTAATTACCTTTTATGCCTCAGTTTTTGTCTCTCCCTGGGGTTAAAGACACATATGCCTTATGCTTTACCACATGGAGTTTTCACCTTATAGATTACTAATTTTTATTTTATTTTTTATATTTTGTTTTTGTATTTGGTACAAGGTCTACATGGTCTCACTATGTAGATCAGACTCGTAGGATTCTCCTGTTATCAGCCTCCCAAGTGCTGGGATCACAGGTGTGCCACCACAACCAGTCTCAACTGCTGGCTCAGCACACCCTGGGGGTGGGGCCGGCACAGCAGGCTGAATGCCCTGATCCTGAGTTTGCCTAAGTAGGTACTTTAATTTCCTGAGCTATTTGAATGGTCCTTCAGACTACAAAACTATTTTGTGAAAAAAAGCTGGAGTAAAACCCTAAACAAAGTGCCTCAATCCCTTTTCATTGTCCCAAAAAGAGTAGCTCTATGTCAATATTCTTTATTTTACAAATTTGGCTTTATGTATTACATAGGGCATGAAAATGAACAGGTGACTGGGCATGCTAGCCCGGACATGGTGGTAGATACCTATAATTTTACCAGTTGGGAATCTGAGGCAGGAGTATCACGCAAGTTGGAGGTCAGCCTATAGTACATAGCTAGTTTCAAGGCCAGCCTGAACTATATAGTGAGACCCTGTCTCAAACGAAACAAAATAAAACAAAACAAAACACCCAAATTGGGTGTGGTGGCACAGACCTGTCATTATCATAGCACTCTGGGAAGTTGAGGCAGGAGGATCTCAACTTTTTTTTTTCTTGGTACCAGGGCTCGATCTCAGGGCCTTGTACTTCCCAGGCAGGCGCTTAAGCCAGTGAGCTATCTCTCTGGCCCCAGGATCTCAAGTTTGAGTCACAGGGCAACTTAGTGACTTTACAAGACCAATAAAATTTAAAAAAAGACTATAGGCTTAGCTCAGTGTGAACTGGGTTTAATCCTCAGTGCCATAAAAAAAAGTAATCCCAGATTTGTGCGATATCCTTAAAAAGAAAGTTTTTTGGGTTTTTTTTTTGGCGGAACTGGGGATTGAACTCAGGCCCTTGTGCTTGCCAGGCAAGCAGTTATTCTACTGAGCTATCGCCCCAGCCCCAAAAAGAAAGTTTTCAAAGAACACACAGGCTTAAATAATTTACGATGCCACTGTAAGGGTTTATAACTAAAACTGCTTTCACAATTGAGTCCTTCATTTGTACCTTCTGCGAGTCACTTGGACATCTGATGACAAACATCTGACAACAAAGCTGCACAGCTCTGGGGGTGAGGTAGTGCTCAGCAGGGTGACAGGGCACACACCAATGACAAGGAGGGGAACTGTCTTCAGCAGGGAAGGCAGCTGGCCACAGCTGATGGGCACTTGCCTTTCACAATGGCTGGGTCTCTGACATTCCTAGGAAGTTTTCTAACAAAGACACTGGGTTTTCCTGAAAATTACGACTTGATTTAAATATAGCACATGCTACTAAATGGATAAAGATTAAACAGTAAAGTTGTAAGATTAAAAGCAATTGTGTATTCTCTACACAAGCAAAAAGAAAAGAAAAGGCTAACTTTCCATAGAATATAAAACACAAAGTGGCTGGGGAGATAGTTCAGTGGCATAAGCGCCTGCCTGGCAAGTACAAGGTCCTGAGTTCAATCCCTGGTACCACATGCCATGCCACATGGTGGTGCACACCTATAATCCCAACACTAAGGCAAGCTGAGACAGGAGGACCACTGTGAGTCCAAACCACAAGACCCTGTACCAAAAACAAAACAAACAAAAAAACAACCTGAAGGCAGAGAAACTTTTTTTAAGCTAAGATAGGATTTCTTAATGAGACTTCCTGGGCTGACTTTGTCAGTTTCCTATTGTTTAGCTGCAGTGGAGAAGAGAGGGAAGGCCAAGGGCTACTGAGGGGCACGACTGTGGTTCCCAGCAGCTCCTTCAAGTGTGAGGCAGATCCCTCTGGAAGACCATGCCATAAAGCACGGCCTGGAGGGTGGCACTTACGCCCCGTGCAGCGCTTCCAGTGTTCCTGTCCCACGGTCAGCAGCTCCTTCACACCATCATCCATGGCCTTGGTGAATTTCCCCACAGCCTCGCACTTCTGTTCTCTGTAGGCAGAGAGAGCCGTCAGTCACACATGCAGAGTGAGCTGCATACTTGTCCTCTTGCAAAACAACTGCCCTTTGACTAAGTCCGTCTCTCAACACAGGCTAAATTCCGGTTTTTAAAGAGGTACTTAAAGTCTGCCATTTATATTTTAACTTTGCTTCCTTTTCTCAATTCCTTGTGAATTTTAATTAAAATTATCCTTAAGTTAAATTATCACCTTGAGTATGTTACAGAAGTTTTAAGGATACTAGTTGCAGCTGTTATTTCATTCTAACAGATATTTAATGAAACAGGTAAAACTAGGTGGGTCTATACCACTTGGCATTCCCAAGATATGAGCTCCCAAAGGGTATCAAGAGGAGTAGCAACCGCAGAGACCACAGTATATTACTAAAAAAACCAAAAAAACCCCAAAAACCCCACATTATAAAACAATGTACACGCTGCAGGGTGTAGCTCAGTGGCAGAACATACATGTGCTGCCCATGTGTGAAGCCCTCAGTTCAGTTACTAGGATCAACCAAAAAAAAAAAAAAAGAAATTTTAAAATTAAGAATGTATTAAGTGAGGTCACTTATTTAAACTGCTCATTTTCCAATGGCCATCTACAGAAGGAGGTTTGGAAGACTATATACCAACACTATTAAAATAGATTTTTATTCCTCTGAGTAACTAGAGGACTTATCATATGTGAATTTTTTTTTTTTTTGCCTATATTTTTGAAACATATAGGCAATTTTTTTTTTTAAAGGAAATTAGATTATTCCTTTTTTTTTTTTCGGCGAAACCAGGGATTGAACTCAGGCCCTTGCATTTGCCAGGGAAGCGGTTATTCCACTGAGCCATCTCCCCGGCCCCAATATAGGCAATTTTTAAAAAAAAATGTATTTGGTACAGGGTCTCATTACATAGCTTGGACTCGCAATGATCCTGTTTCAGCCTCCCCAAAACTTTTTTTTTTTTGAAACAGGGCCTTGTTATGCAGTTTGGACTAGCCTTGAGCCTTGAACTCAATTCTGTAGCCCCCAGGCTGGTCTTTTGTTTGTGGAACTGGGGATTGAACCCAGGCCCTTGTGCTTGCCAGGGAAGCGCTTATTCCTCTGAGCCATCTCTCCAGCCCTCAGACTGGTCTTGAAGTCAAAGCAATCCTCCTGTCTCAATCTCCTGAGTGCTGGGATTACAGGCATGCCTGGAGCTCTGGAGCTTGTGGGGCTGGGGATCAAACTTGGGATCTTGCCCTTGCCACGTAGGTGCTTATGCCTCTGAGCTATCTCCTCAGCCCCAGAAAAAAGTTCTTTTTTTTTTTTTTTAAATTTTTTATGTGTGTGTGTCTGTGTGTGTGTGTGTGTGTGGCCAGCTCAGCCCACCAGGGGGTGGGGCTGGCTGGCGTGTGGTGCTGGGGGATTGAACCGCGGTCCCTGTGCTTTGCTAAGCTTGTTCTAAGTAGGTGCTTTAGACCACTGAGCCATCTCACCAGCCCCCCAGAAAAAAGTTTCTTAAAACTAAAAAATTCCAAGATTTCTTATTAGTCTTTATATAAGAAACTATTTCAAAACATTAAGAAACAGTACATGCAGGTTAGAAACTGCTTCCTTTAAAGTGGTGCTCAAAAAGTTTTGGCTTTGCTGGTCTGCTGTGGGTGCTATGGCTTTCTGCCACTCTGTCTCATCATACTTCTTTGGAACTAACACTGTGTCAACTATGAAATCCTTGACTCCGAGGTAAAGAGAAAGCAGATCTTCATTTAAAGCTACAGTTAAAAGATGGCACTTCCATGTACACACAGTGTTTCTTTGTCATCTGTCTACAAGCCCCAGTCAGTCAACAAGCTCTCCTCTGACAATGTGAATTCCAGCTACAGCTCTCCTAGCCAAGGCTGTCAGCCAAAGGGCGTGGGTACACACAGAGAAGGACAGCTCGGAAGTGACGCTCACATTTCTATTAAGTCCAAGTCAGGTGCCTCTGGTTCCATGGTGGAAAATATCATAACTCCCACCAGCTCATCTTTCTCAGCCTTCCTCTTTCCAGTTTTCCATTCCTGTAAATGAGAACATCACAGTGTTAAAGGGGACAGCAATTCAAACTGGTCTTCTAAATCCCCAAATAAAATCAGCTCCCACATTACTGTTTTGCCACTTCTGTGAATTAGCAAAGAATGCCAAAGTCTGTATGCGCAATGCCTGATTTTTGCGTAACCTACATTCACACTGCGGAGTGCAGCTGTGGCTCACTCACTTCATGCTCTGTAACACCCAGTTCTCCGAGTGGAAGCCACTCCCGTCGAGTCGTGAATACTGTTGTGATGCATGTGTCTTCTGCTGAATACATACTGAATGTTTGTCTAGCACACATCTTGGCGTAAAGATGCTGGGCTCTATGACTAGGACCAACTCCTGTAGTGAATGCCAAATGGTTTTTCAAACTGGTCTTATTAATTAACTCCACTAGCAAAGTGTAAATCCTGGCTGCATCTTACTTCACCAAGATGACACTGAGTGTGGTCCTTTGTTCTTATTTTAGCAAATCTGTTGATGTTGTAAGCCTAGTAGTTCTTTTATTTCTTGATTGTTAAAGAAATTGGTACTGTACTTCTCTACGTTTGCTGGTGGCTCAGATACCTTCTTTTCTAGGGTAATTATCAAGTTTCCTACTAGTCTATTAGACTGATTATTTTTCTTTTTATTTATATGGGTTTTCATATATTCTAATACCTACCCCATCATTATTTATGTTACAAATATTTTCTTTTTAAAAAATTTAAAGAACATATAATAGTAATAAACAGCATTAGAAACAATACAAAATTCCACTAAACAAAGTAAGAGGAATTCAACAATGGTTGCTGTATTGCATGATGTTATCTTCAATTAGTTTTTTTTGTTTGGTACCCCCCCCCCCGGAACCGGGAATTGAACTCAGACCCTTGCACTTGCCAGGGAAGCGCTTATTCCACTGAGCCATCTCCCCGGCCCCTCAAATTAGTTTTTTAGTTTACCAGACATAAATGTGCAAAATTGGTTTAAAAACAAAAACGTTATGAGTTCCGGGGAGATAGCTCAGTGGCATATGTGCCTACCTGGCAAGTGCAAGGTCCTGAGTACGATCACTGGTACCAAAAACAAAAAAAGTTGTGAGAAAATAAAAAGGAAAAAAAATATAGTAAGAATAAAAAGAAAATTTAATCTATTAACTGCTCCTTTCAAAGGACCAGCAGAAATTGGCCAAATTATCCTGCATATATACATAAATATATCTTTCCCCCTTTCTTTTTGTATATATATATATATATACACACACACATATACGTATTTATTTATTATTATTTTTTTCTTTTAACATTCTGCAAAGCTTTATTCCAGAGGGGCTTAGTCCTTCTTGGCAGCTGCCTTCCTCATGGCGGCCAGCACGTTGCTCAGCTCCTCATGCTTCCTCCTGGCAGGGATGTGCATCCCCACCCTTTCTTGATGAACTCGAGGGCTCGTTTGTCCTTGGAGACCTTGAGCAGCTCCATGGTGCACCACTCACTTGTAGAGGGCGAAGCTGCACACCTCCTGGATCATGTCCCGCACGAACTTGGTGTTTGGTGAGGTGTTCGGGACAGTGGCTGTCTCAGTCTGCTCACATTCTTAGTCACGTTGAGGCCCATGGCCACGGGATAGCACAGGGCTGTGGCTACTGTTCTTCAATGGTTGCTGTGGCGGAAGGACCAGAGTTGTGTGGAACTGCAGGAAATCTTGTATAGGTATTTTCTATTTATTAGGTTTCCACTTTTTTTTTTTTTTAGGTTTCCACTTTTAACGGCTCTTCTGATAAAACTTTGTTCTTAATTTTAGGGTAGCCTCAACTTATCCATATCCTTGTGTATAGTCAGGTCTTTTGCATATCTTGTTTCACAAATCCTCTCCTGTGCTAGGGGTATAGTCTCCTAGGTTTTGCAGAATGTTCACTGTATTGCTTTTTAAAATCACATTTATATCTCTGAACTATACAGACTAATATTTAAATTTTTTTTTACAACAGAAACTTCCAAAGATAATTAAAACAAGAAAGTACAAGGGCCAGTAGACTACAAAGACAACAATATGCAATGTATTAATTTTTGTAACTGTACTACTAACCTGTTTTGAAACTATCTCATTGCTACTTCTTTCTCAATAAAATTATTAAAATAATAATAATAATAATAATAATAAAGCACCTGCACAGGCAGACACAGGGACCGGGGCTCGATCCCCAGCGTGCTGTGCCAGCCCCACCCCTGGGGGCACGCTGAAACAGCGACTGAGACTGGCCATGGTGCCTCAGGCCTGTAATCCCACTGCTTGGGAGGCTGAAAACTGGAGGATCACTAAAAGTCTGATCTGTGTAGTGAGCCCTGTAGACCTGGTACTAAATACATAAAAAAAAAGCAAACAAACTTTGTTAACACTTTTTCCGTTATCGTAATATATTTAACATCTGCCACTGTTTGAGCTAACTCATGCTTTTATTCTTTTAAAATATTTTCTAAAATATGCAGTATTTATTATGAGAAAAGACAGAATTATGACAGAAGAAAATTATAGAATAAATGTCCTTTAAGAATACAAGTTACAATTAGGAACACAGTGCAAGTTCACTAAGAAAGAAAACTATTTTCAAGGTACAGTGATGAGATGTTAAGCAGCCAATTTTTCTTCACTGAAATGAAAAACAAATGACCACTGGCAGATGACTGTCCATGGAGCTGGGCAGTGACAGACTGGCACTTGCTTTGGAGTCACAACTACAATTACAGAGAAAGGCCTTGGCTTCAAGAAGAATGGTTCATCTTTGACACTACTTCTGGAAGCTGTGGCACTGTGAGGTCAAAGGCGATCAGAGGAACTCGTCACCTACACCCTTCACTGTATGCTGACAGTTCCCTTCAGCGTCTCGTAGGTGTTTTAAGAACACCTACGAAGAAGCTGCTCATCCAAATGCATCCATTCTGTCTGTTCTTTAAATACTAGTTGAAGGAGAGGGCAGGTAACAGAACCAAAGAAGGCATACAGTTCCAGAAAAATTTCAAGGAAAAATATTGGAAGCTACAAAGCAGCTGCTGGATAGGACTCTAAAGGGTAAAGTTAAAGCAATTTAACCAGCTAGCAAGAAAGTTGGAAATAAAATAAAATTCTTCTGCCATAATATGTGTCACAAGCTAGCAAAGCTCTTTAGTGATAAAGGATATTAAAACTAAAGCACAAATTTGTAGTAAAAAATTTTGATTAAAGTACGAGAAAATAAGGGGGAGCACAGTGCTGACACAGATCAATCTGGTCCTTTAAGAGAGAATGGAGGAACATACGGGGAAAGTACCCACTTGAGGACCTAGAAGAGCATGCTGTAACGCCTGCTGGCCAGCCCCAGGGTCCGGGAGCCTCTGGCTGGCAGCGCCTTCACACCACAGGACCAGCTCTTAAGGTGGGGATTTAGGTTTCTGTCCCCTCCCTGTCTTCGAAATAAAGAATTAACATGTTTTTAACTCCTTTCGCATATGCCTTCAGTGTGACTGGGAGAATACTCACTCTCCTAAGACCATCATGGTCAGTGGTCTTACCTTCTCATCTCGGAAGTTTAGGAACTGCTGGAAGACCTCGCTCTCTGAGACGACTGGGTGCCGACACATCCTGGTCATCCAGGCCTGAAGTCTCTCCATACGCATTTTGATAAATTCCTCTTCAAAGCGACCTTCAAAGACACACCAAGAGTGATACAGTGCTCTCTCTAAAGTGAATTGCAGGGGCCGGGGAGATAGCTCAGTAGAATAAGTGCTTCCCTGGCAAGTACAAGGGCCTGAGTTCAATCCCTGGTTCCACCAAAAGAAACAAATAAACAAATAAAATGAAGTGAATGCAGTTACTATAACTGAAAAAACTATTTATGACCACTGGCCACTTGGTAGAAAGCTGCTTTATGAAAAGCAAAAAAAAAAAAAAACCATGGTGATTTTTCAGCGCCTTAAACATATGAGACATGAGAAAGTTCAAGAGACCAACAAGAAGAATCTGGTGGACTTTTATTTAGTTCAAAAATGAAATATGAACTTAACATATTAACAAATCTTTTATGAAAAGAGTAAAAACTTTCAAGTGAGTCTTATCTCAGTATGATAAGCTATCTCTAGCTCATACAAAAACATCAGGCCATATGCTGGGTCCCCTCATAAAGTCTATGGGCAACAACCAAATCAGTGCTCTGGAATCAGCCAAAACCAAAAAGCCATCTGAAAACTGTCTAAACACAAAAAGCTGTAGAACATCCAGCATGACGGTAGCTACTGTGGTGTTCGTATCTCTCCCTGCTTCTGCATGCCTTCTTCCTCTACTGGACACATGATAAGGTGGAGCAGGCTGTGCGAACTGACTGCTGTGGCTTTCCTGCTGGGATGGGAGGAGGTGCATTTAATGTGGAGTGGGAGATGCTCATGTCCAGTGGTGGGATGGCAGCAGTGACAACCTCAGAGGTCAATGATGGCATAAATGACTGACTAGCCAAGATGGCTAGACCAAGCATACCCGGGTTCAAACATGCATGAACAGGATTCAAACCAGCCACAAGCTCCTTGCCAACTCTTAGGCTACACACACAGAAAAGAGATTTTTAAATAAGGGGCCTATGAAGCCAAGTTGCATTTCACATGCCCGTAACCCCAGATACCTAGGACAAGAGCCAGGAGGATCACCTGGGTCTAGGGATAGCATGGCAACACAGTGAGGCTCCATCTTAAAAATAAAACAAGCCCAAGGGAAAATAAAAGGAGCCAGGGTTGATGTGAAAAGATCTGGACTCTGAATGTACTCACTACCTGCAATCTTATACAGACAGAGAACAGAGCCTCACAGGCTTGATGTGGCCAAACACCACCTCTGCCCCACCCATCACAGGCTTCCCATCAATCTACATAGGCACACAAGTAAACCCTCGGAAGCAGGACTTAGAAAATAAACAAATACAAAATGAACTCAGCTAAAAAGGAGATAGAATTCAGAGATTTAGCCTATGAAACTTACTGAACAAACAAACACAGCAAAAAAAAAAAACCAAACAAACAAAAAACAAAAAACAAACAACTATCTCTTACAGGGAGGAATAATGAAAATCTAGAGTTGCTAAAATTTATTCTCATAAATGTCCAGTTCTCAAAAAAAAAAAAAAAAAAAAAAAAAAGAGTTCTGCAAAGAAATAGCAAGACTTGATCCATACTGAGAAAAACAAGCAATCAACAGAAACTATCCTTAAGTGTCTCCAGATGCTGAATTTAGCATACAAAAACAAAGCAGCAGACAAAGTATTTTCTATAAATACACTCAAACAACTAAAGAAAACCATACTGAAACAGTTAAGGGAAAATATGAGAAGGAAATAACTAATAGAGATTCTCAGGGAAACTTTTTAAAAAGTGAAATTTTTGGAGTTGAAAGTATAATAACTAAAACTAAAAATATAACTGTATGGCTCAAGAGCAGATTGAGGATTAGAAGATAGTCAGTGAATTGAAGATAGACCAATCGAAGCTGTCCAAAATGAATAGAACAGAAAACTAATGAAAAATAAAACTCCAGAAATCATTAAGCACAATGGGAGTCCTGGAGAGAAGAGAAAAAAGAACCAAAAAAAAGTAATGAAGAAGTAATAGCAAAAAATCTTCACAAATTTGATGGAAAACTATAATTTTAAGAGATTCAACAAACCTCAGCAAGCACTGTATTTGTAGGACAAATATAAACTTATCTAAACCTTGACACAGTGGAACTAAACTGCAGAAAGTCAAAAACAAAAAGGAAATCCTGAAAGGCCCGAGTGTGCTGCTTTCTGCATGTGAGGTCAGCAGAGTTAACAGCCGACTTTTCATCATCTGTTGCAATGCAGGCCAGCAGGCAATGAGATGGTCCATCACGTCAAAAGAACGGCTGTCAGCCTAGAACCCGAGAACAGGACCCCAACCTTCCGAATCTACAGGGCAGAGTAAGAGACAAATGGAGGAGAGACTTGCTGACAGTGTACCTCTGCTGGAAGAAACAAAAGGAACCCCTTTAATCTAGGAGGAAATTATTAAAGATGGTGCCCAGAGTACACAGGGAGAAAGAAAGAGCACTAGAATATTTAGGATATTTATCCTATAGGTTAATATGAAAGAGTTCACAAATTTTTTTCTGATGTGTTTTTAAAACTTCCTTAAAGATTAGCGATGTGTGCCTACGACTTCTCTTTGAAATGATGCAGTGTTCGGTTGTGGTCCGAAGCGACCAGGCAGTTCTGCTTGGTATCTCCTTTCTCCAGTGGAGCCGTTAACCTCTCAGATGTGATAAAATGCTAGTTAGGTTGAATATTGCTTGCCTTCTTCACTCATTCATCTTTGTATGAGTCCTCTTCTCTCCTCCTCGCCCCATTTCTTGTTTTTGCCCCAGTTTTTAAAAGTTTTTAGCTGGTGTTCATGGAGAGAGTGAGTAAACTGTGCTGTTAATGGAAGCGAATGCTATCTAAGGAAGTGCATTTCTTGACAGAGCTGTGTCAAATCACCCTTTGGGCCCTCTGCTGGAAAAGTAGAGTTAAGTCTGAAAGAAGGCCTTTTTAATTGTAGCCCTTAGTACTATGGATGTAGGACAGTACTGTATCATACTTCTGTGAATGTAAAATATCTCGTACCTGCTTAATGATACACAGTAGTGACCATGCTTTATCAAAGCTGTTTTTAATGATGTTACTCTAGAATGTTTTCTTTCCAGATGATGATTAAGAAGCTAATAAAAAAAATGGTGCCAGGTACCACAACAGTAACAGAACTTTGCTGTTTTCTGGGTATTTTTCTTTTTTTTTAAATGGAGTGTGCTGGATGTCTATAATTTTGTTCAGATGACTGCAGAACCTGGAAAAGGTGTTGCTGCTATTGATGCATAACATACTGCTATTATTATATATATATAATTTGAATTTTTGGAAACTTTAACTGTACTGTCAACTTTGGAAAAAGTTATCCCAGGTTATCATATTGAGTTGGCATTGTACAGAAATAAACAGCCATTTTGGTCAAGAAACGTTAAAACTTAATTTTTTTTGCAATTTATACAGGGGTAACATACTGTATTAAATATGTAAGGTCTTATCTATGTGGGTTTGATTATAGAAACTAATAAAGTATTCTCTAAATTAAAAAAATTAATAAATGAAACTTCCTTAAAGGAGGTTAAGATAGAATAATATAGCAATTTCCAACTGGATTGCAAGATTTACAATATAGGTATAATATATGTGAAAATAATCTATAAAATGAAGATGAAGGGTACAGCTAAACTGGAGAAGGGATTTGTGTTTACTAGAATGGAGCTAACATTAATTTAAAGTGTATTGTGGTGCTGTTAAAAAAAGATACATATTCATTCTTTAGAACCACCACCAAATTTTAAAATAGAGTTGAAAAGATGTTTTGTTTGCTTGTTTGTTTGTGGCTGAACCGGGGATTGAATTCAGGTTCTTGCACTTGCCAGGCAAGCACTTATTCTACTGAACTATCTCTCCAGCCCTACATGAAGAGATTTTTTGCAGTTTTGCATTTCTAGACAACAAGCAACTACAAGGTAAGGATGCCAGGTGGAAATCAAAATTGTAGTTTCTCTTGGGGCAGGCAAGATAGCTCAGCAGTCTAAAGCACCTGGTTAGGCGATCGTAGGCAGCTGCAGGGGATGGCGGTTTGCTCCCTGGCACCACATGCCATGTGCCAGCCCTGCTCTCAGGGTGGACTGAGCCTCCTCCCCCTCCAAAAAAACCCTGTAGTCTCTGCATGGTCTCCTGGCCAACAAAGCCTGTTTGATGAGAATGGCATGCAGGCCAGCAGCAGCCCTGCCACTGCAGTTAGTGCGCTTGCTGCTGCCCGTCAGGTGTAATGACTCTGCTGTGGGCCATGAAGGGGTCATGCTACCCGAGAAGGGGTGGGGACATAATACCGAGGACCTAAAGCTGACATCTCTTACCAGCAACTTCAGGGAATCCAGTGGGTGCAAGAGCAATTTGATGGCCCTTGCTTTTATGAGATAAAACCATTTTTGGATGATGTTAAGCTCTGAGAAGAATTCAATGAGGTACTGAAGCAGTGTAGAACTGCAAAGTACAATTGAAATTAGGATGTTTAGACTGAAGAAATGGAAAATTAGTTCTGATCACTACTTTAGCATGAAAATATAGTAACGAAAGTATAAATTGTAAAACCATAAGCTAAACTTCTTAACAGCTTCACTGCTTCAAAATGGCAATGGAAGAGGGTGCCATATGGAAGGTGTTACATAAAAGTTCACTGACATAGTATAGAATTTGGGGCAAATGTTGGTATAGCATCCTTAAACCAGAGGTTGTGATGTTATTACTTGTGAGTTACTTAGAATATAGTGATGTTCTTCCAAAAACTTTAAGAAATGACAATAATTAGAATGCAAAGGAGAAATATTTATTTAGTATTTTATTTAAAGGAAAGTCAGAAAAAGAGGGACAGAGGAACAAAAAGGATAACAGGATAAAACAACAAAATGGAGTTCACTTTCCCATCTTGCCAGATGGGGGATGAAAACTCCGAGAAGCCAGACACTAAAGAGAAGAAACCTGAAGCCAAGAAGGCTACTGACAGTGGCACTGGTGAAAAGGGTAAGGTGAAGGCAAAAAAAGCCCAAGAAGGGGCAGCCCCACTGCAGCTGAAATCC